CTGGAATTTCACAGCAGTTCACTTGTGAGCAGCTGGATATCTTCTTTGTTTGGGCTTCTTTAGTTGCATGCCTCTTCTACTTCAGCTACACTTTCAGCTTGTTTGCTGGACTGTGCAGCTGGATTTTTCTTGCCAAGGGAGTTGGGTTTCTTATTCATTTCAGCTGAAAAAAAAAAAAAAAAGGGTTTAGGGTTTTTAGGATTTAGGGTTTAGGGTTTAGGGTTGAGGGTTGAGGGTTGAGGGTTTTCGTTTTTGGGTTTAAGTTTTTTGTCTAGAGAGAGAATCTCCCACTTGTCTCTAGCTTTTTCCATCGATTTTGTGTTTTTTTCATGCTTTTCTTACTGATCTGTCCATTTATTATGTCTTCTGCCTAGAATCAAAGCCAAATTCCACCTAAACCTCCCGATATTACAAAGAATCCCACTTCAGCTCCAAAGATTTCATCATTTTCGTTAGACCATTTAAAATCGGTACAGTTTACCGATTTAGTTCAAGATGGGGCAAATGCCTCTGGTTCGGTACATGTCATCGTGAAAGCTCCTGGTATGCCTTCTGTGCCTCCTTCGGTTCATCATAGATCAGAAACTACAAATAATTTGCTAATTTCACCAAACCCTGCCGACACGGTGCAATACACCGAACAAAATCAAAAAGGGGCAAAAACCCTTGGTTTGCTACAGAATGTCGTTCAATCCTCAGGTGCTACGACTGGACTCCTATTTTTAGAGGAAATTCCGTTAGAATTTTTTATAAAATTAGCAAAACCCATATTGAATTCAATTTCTCTTATTCAAGCAATGGAAGGAGAAATGTTCCAAATCAACTACTTTTTTTTATGTTAGATGGTATCTTCAGGCACCGGTTGTCTATAGTTTGGACATTGTTAGTATTGCATTAGGTTGTGTCATTTTGGGTTTAGTGTTTAGAGTTTAGGGTTTTAGGGTTTAGGTTTAGTCAAGGGCAGTTATTGTTTTTCTAGTGAGAGAAGCTCTCACCACTCTCTAGGTTTTCTTTGCTTTTTCTTGCATTCTTGATCTTTATGCTTTGTTCTGCGCATTTATTATGACTGCTGATCAAAATCAGGGTCAAATCCCTCCTAAGCCACCGGATGTTTCCCTTATTTCCATCACAACCCCCAAGATTTCTTTAAATCCTTTAACCCAGTCAACATCGGCACACTTTACCGATATTGTTCAGAATGGGGCAAAAGCTTCAACAACGTTGCAAGATGTCACAAAGAACTCTTGTATGCCTCCTACAAACCCGAATCTACAATCTACAACAGATATTGCAAAAATCCTTCCACAATCGGTGCAATTGTCCGAGTTAGGCAGATGGTGCAAATGCTTCAGGATCGCAACAGGTAATCGCAAACTCCTGTGGTATCCTCCCCAAAAATCCCAATCTCCAACCCGGATCTGATATTACAAAAAATTTTGCTCCCCTTTTCAAAAAAAACCCCATCAACTTCGCCTCCTTTGGTGTTCATTTTTCCTTCGGCTCCTTCGAGCTCTTCGGATACACAGTCTCCACAGCCGATTGAAGGGGTCTCCTCTCCAATGCCTTCAGCATCCTATTTTAGGCCAGCCAAACGGGTGGTTTTCAATAACGGGGAACTGGGATGTATTGGTCTTCTGAGGAAACTCAAACTCTCTCAAAGAAGTTCCACCAGACCTTAATAGGAAAATGCGCATATGGTTAACCATCAGTTGGTGTTATCAGGGAATTCATCACTACCAGATGGCTCCTGAAAGGCAACTTCACTGTCGGGGTCTTGGATCCAAGACACGCATTGATTACAATGAGGATTACGTCAAGACATGGTTAAAGGATGCTGTGACACCCCAAAATCTGGGGGTCCGTTGATTCCCCATCAACCCGTGGATACCGAGTAATTTGATATCACGCCATTATGCGCCATTTACTGGAAACCATAATTTTTTATGAAATTCGGGCAGAGTCTCCTTTGTACGGGAAGCTCTACCAAAAACTCAACCTGTACAATCATATAATAACAAGACTCATCCGAGGTCCAATATTCAACAATGACCACACCGGGTCCAATATTCAACAATGACCACACCGGGTCCAATTATCCATATTTATATCAACACATGCAAAGTTAGTTTAACAATAGTCTATATAAGTTCTATTACAATTATTTGCAAAATATTACATGTCCAAAACATTATTTCCACAAATGTTTTACATTATCACAAAATAAAGCCACATTCGGCTTTCTTCAAACATGAGGGTCCAAATTGGAGCCATCTACCGATGTATCTCTCCCACCTGAAATGTTTTGCAGTATAAGGTGAGCTAACGCCCAGTAGAATAATCCCTCTAGAGGCTACTCTCCACCTTAGATGCATATGTGGTGTATATAAGCAACAAACAACATTTAACAATCATTCCATACAAGAATATGCATTAAATGTGGAATGTAATCATGTCATGCCATGAAATGAGATGATACTCACTCATACACTTAAACCCAAGTCATCATCGACTCCCACGACACAATGCAATGCCAAGGTATACTGAATCCGTCAATTGACGAAAAAATTCACCAAATGATCGTTTGAAATAAAAGTTGTTTTATTATAAAACCAAATCATTAATGGGTGTTACTCATTATATGAGTACTTTATAAATCAAAATCTTGTGTCTTGTTGGGCAACGGATTTTGGATTTTATACCGCCGGTTCCGTACACCATACTACACTTTTTTGGAATTTCACTACAGGGGAATGTATAACCAAGTCGCCGAGTCTTGCACCCGAGGGGGGAATCTACCCCTTCTTGCTATACCCGACACAAGTTTTTCTTTCATGCAACCATGTGACTCATTCAGATTTTCAACCTAACTTTTTCGAGTCTACCCATTAATCACCAAGAATGGTGTTTAATTAACCATGCATACACACATCCACACTCATGACTCATGCCCATGAATGTGATGTCAATTCCTTGTTCATATTGCAATGCATGCCAAAGGAACAATTTTTACACATCAATGTCTACCATGGCGATTTATATCATATGCTAATAATCCCCATAATTTCATCACAATGTCAAAACATCAACTAGCATGTGTCAACATTTATATTCAACACAATTGACAAGCATGTTATCACATAATCTATGTCAAAAACACACTTAATTTAAAAGACAAAATATAGCACATATTTCAGCCCACAAGAAAATCAGCCCATAGTGGCCCAAAATTTAGCCACTAAACCGCCCCAAAATAGGCCCCAAAATAGGCCTTAAAACAGCCCCAAAAACAGTCTGTATACAGCCCCTAATTAGTGCACAAAACAGCCCCAATTTCAGCACCAAAACAGTCCGTAATTCAGCCCCTTAACAGTCCAAAATTCAGCCCCTTAACAGTCTATTTGGACAGCCCACATATAAACCATTTTCAGCCACTAAAAGCCCACTTAAGGTAAGAATAAAACCAAGGTAGGAGCGAACCCTACCTCTTGTAGCGTGTAAGAAGTGGTAGAACTTCTAAAAAACACCAAAACAAGCCCAAGAACCTTTGATTCCTCCAAAGTCTTTTCTTTGCACCTTCGGTGAAATCCACTTTTCTTGGTACGTACACGTAACCCTCGTCGAGGAGATGAACTTTGATTCTTGACTCGACGAATTCCGACCGACGAAACTCCGAGAATCTTGGATTGAAGCTTGAAGAACTTACTTGTTTTTCTCTCTTTTCATTCTCTTCTCTCTATGGCCGGCCAAGGGTCAAGAACATGAGATATTTTTTCCAAAATATTTAAGTCAAGTAGGTATTTATAGTCCTGAATGTGTGGTCCACATCGCACCGCATATTTCAGACTTCCGGGTCCGTTTTTCGTTCCGAAACGATTTGTTATACCTCAGATTTAGTTAAAATTAATTGTATTGGAACTTTAACTTGATTTTAAGAAAAAAATTAAAAAATTCATTTTTGGGGACCTTTAAAATGTCATTCGCCTCGTAGTTGCCTTGAACAACGTGCAAAAATTCGTCTATCTCGAAATTCGACGAAATTTGACAGGGTGATTAGATTTTGCGATACGAATCCAACGGCGAACTTCGTTTCCTCAACCGAGGTCTAGAACATGAGTATTTTAAATACGCATTAGGATGACAAATTACCATTTTACCCTTTCTAAGAAAAAGTTCAAATTTTCCCGAGTTTCACAGATGCAACACACATCGAGGGCTTCTTGTTCAGGTTCTTCAAGTGGTTTTCGGAGTTCCTGCCTGGGATTGAACCACCAGTGGTTCCTATTTGGATTTCTCTCCCAGGTTTGCCAATTCACCTCTTTGATAAGGAGAGCCTTCGGGACATTTTGAGTCCCATCGGGAGAATCCTTGTAATTGACTCACCCACCCTCCTATTATCTAGGCCAGGTGTGGCTAGCGTATGTGTCGAAGTTAATTTATTAGCTGATAACCCATCTCGTCTTTGGCTGGATTTTGGCGGAACAAGTGGGCGTTGGCAAAAGATTAATTATGAAAAATTGGTGAAGTATTGTGCTGGGTGTTTGAAAGAAGGCCATGGGATGCTCGAGTGTCGTAAAGGCAAAAGGGAAGAGGAAAACAAAGTGGACAAACAGGCATACAACCCTAAGGAGGAAAGAAAGCAGAAAGCTGGCATCTCGAAAAAAGACGAGGACCTTAAGGGGAAAGATAAGGCATGGCAGAAAGTCACAAAAAAAGCGAATTCCAAAGTAACCGTGAAAGAGGGTCACCAAGCACCACAGTTCTCGAATCCCATAAATTTAGATGTAGGAGGAGAGGAGGATGCCAATAAATTTAATGTGTTAAGAGGAGAGCATTCGGGCAAGGATGTCGCAGAGGAGGGAAAGGATGAAACGCAAAATCATAACGGGGATTCAATTACTTAAAAAAGCACTGTTGTAAGTTCTGAGGCAAAAAACAAGGAGGATTTGGTTACTGTAACACCGGATGAGGAGAGGTTACAGGGCGCAGAAAAGGAGAAAGAAATGTCATTAATGGAGGTATCTCCCGAAAGAGGTGAAAAGGGTATACAGAACGGTATGGATAATGCTCTATTTTCTCAACCTCAGGCGGAAGGGTCTAAAGAGGTGCAACAGATGGCAGGTACAGTAATGTGCTCGTTAAATAAACAATCTCATTCACCTACCTCATCTTCTTTCTTTGTGGATCATCTGTATGAGCTAAGAGTCAGACAAAATTACACCGTGGATGACGAAAGTGGACTCAGGAGGGATAAAGAACCACCAGACAGGGGCTTTTACTCTGATCAAGAAAGCTCAAAAAATTGGGCTGATTCAAGTGAAGATGCCACTGTAAATGAAGATCAAGGAATTATCTTGCTAAACCAAACAACAGTGAACTACTCCGACTGCAGTACTGGGCATAGTCCCAGAGGTAATGATGAAACAAATTCTTTATGATGAATTTCCTAATGTGGAATGTAAGGGGTGCTGGAAAAGAGAGCCTAAGAAGCAAATTAAAGAAATTAATTGTAATGAATAAGGTGATGTAAGGGGTGCTGGAAAAGAGAGCCTAAGAAGCAAATTAAAGAAATTAATTGTAATGAATAAGGTGAGTCTTCTCGCTGTTATTGAACCAAAAATGTCCCATACCAAACTAAGGAATTTTGGTCTTGCTGTTGGGTTAAATTCTTTTATGGCAAACACAAAGGCAGAGAAAAATATGTGGCTTTTATGGAATGATAACTTGGAAGTTAAGAGCATGCTGCACTTTGAACAAGCTATGACCGTGTCAGTCTCCTACCAGGGAGCTGATCCAGTGTTAGTTACGGTGGTGTATGGTTGTTGTGACTTACTTGTTAAGGAGGCCCTTGTGGGGACACTTACAGGTTATTTCTACATCCTTTGCTATGCCCTGGTTGGTGATGGGGGATTTTAACATTGTGATGAGGTCAAATGAAAGAATGGGGGGGTGCCTCTCCATCTGTGTTGGCAATGGATGAATTTGGGGACTGTATTCAATCGGAGGGGCTAATTCGAGAATGTGGCAACGGCTGGACAGAATGTTTGCTAACGCTGAGAACTTCTTCCTCAAACTAAAAATGCTAAAGTTTAATATCAAAAAATGGAACAAGGAGGTGTTTGGGACATTTTTGAAAAGATTAGTATGCAGGAATTGGCTTTGCGAGAGGCAGAACGTTCTGTGGATGATAACTACTCTGCAAGAAAGAATCTAGAGGAAACACTTAGGTTGGAAGAATTGTACTGGAGACAAAAAGCTAACATAAAATGGGCACTACACAGGGAGAGGAATACCAAGTTCTTTCATGCTTTGGCCAAAGGGAAGGCTGTGAGGAACAGACTGATGAGGATTAAAGGTGAAGATGGTGAATGGTGTGACTCTGAGGAGGAGATCTCTCAACAGGCCACAACCTTTTTTGCTAAACTGTACATGTCAGAGGACCATGGGCTTGATGAAGAGCTATTTGGGGTTATTCCTAAACTTGTTGGACCAGCGGCTAACGAGATCTTGACTATGACTGCTACCTTAACCGAAGTGAAACAGGTTGTCTTTTCTATGTCTGTGGAAAGCATCCCTGGCGCTGACGGTTTTTCTGGTAGATTCTTTCAAGTAGCATGGGATATTGTTAAAAGCGACCTTTTGGAGGCGGTTAATTTTTTCTTGAGTGGGGGAGTGATTCCAAGATCTGTTAACTCCACACTCCTTGTGTTTGATTCCAAAAGTGATGAAGCCTTGCTCTTTCACAGACTTTAGGCCCATAAGCCTATGCAATTTTTTGTACAAAGTCTTCACGAAGGTCCTATCCAATAGACTTGTGGCTCTCATTCCGTCTCTGATCTCAAATGCAAAACACGGTTTTGTCAAAGGGAGAGGGATTGGGGATTGTATTTCTTTAGCACAGTTAATGGTGGGCGAGCTTGATAGAAAAGTCGAAGCAGGCAACGTGATTCTTAAATTGGATATGATGAAGGCATATGACCGCATTGGTGTGGGACTTTTTGGAAAGAAGTTTGGGCTGTTTTGGTTTTTCAAACTTATTTGTTTCCATCATTGGTAACTTCCTAAAGAACCAATTCTTCTCGGTCTGCTTGAATGGGAAAAGATTTGGCAATTTTCCTTCGTCTAGAGGGTTGAGACAAGGTGGCCCAATCTCACCTGCTCTCTTTATTTTGGCCAAGGAAGTGTTAAGCAGGGGCTTGATGAAGCTGTATGGTGAAGGCAGAATCAAGGCTTTTCATGCAGGGAGGGGTGCTCTTCTTATTTCTCATCCTCTTTTTGCAGATGACACTCTGTTGTTTCTTAGGGGGAATAAACTATCCATGGAACAAATGGTGAGATTTTTGGCAAGATACGAGGAGTGCTCTGGTCAGAGAATAAGCAAGCAGAAAAGTTCCTTAATCTGCTCCTCCAAAATTCCCCTGGTCAGGAGAATGACACTTTCCAAAATTGCACAAATTCCAATTAAACAATGCCCCTTCACCTACCTAGGCTGCCCCATAATTAGAGGAAGATATAAACTCCGGGATTTTGAGGAAGTGGTTCTAAAATTCAAGGCTAAATTGGAAGGGTGGTATGCATGCTTGCTATCAAACATGGGCAGAATTGTATTGGTTCAATCGGTCCTCAGTGCAGTCCCTATTCACTTGCTCTCTTGTCTTAGGGTGCCCAAAGGCATCCTGGTCAAGTTGAAGTCTTTGATGGCCTCCTTTATTTGGTCAGGCAGGATGGGGGAGAGGAAAAGGCATTGAGTTTCAAGATATTTTAAGACCCAAGCAAGAGGGGGGCTTGGAATTCGTAAATTTGAGGACATCCAAACTGCTTTTCGATGGAAGCAGGTATGGGGAATTCTAAAGGGTGACTCTCTTTGGGCGAACATGTTTAGAGCAAAATTCTTAAAAGGCAAACACATGTTATGATGTCTGGGCACTGCAAAAGCTCGTACATTTCGAATGCTGCAACCTTTCTTTTGCTTGGTTATGGAGAACTCCTAGGTTTTGGTGGGAAACGGGAAGTCTGTGGATTTTTGGTGCACGAACTGGGCAGGATCTGGCCCTTTATTGCTCAGGCACGATGTCTCCCCCTCGAGCTTTCTAAGTCTAGATGCGATATGGGCAAGAGGGGACTGGTAGTGGCAGTTATTGGGAGTCCAGATTTCTGAGCAATTAAAGCACGAAATCCATAACTCTGGGATTCGTTTATGTGGCAAAGAAGATCGATTGATATGGAAATTAACCGAGTCGGGAGAGTTCAATGTCAAATCAGCTTGGCAGGCGGTGAGAACTTCAAATAACCCTGTGCCTATAACCTCTGCGATCTAGAACCAATCTGTCTTTCCAAGTGCAAAACTGCTGGGATGGAAGATACATATGAAAGCTGTGGTGGTGGACTCAAATTTCCAACGTATTGGCGTTGAATTGGCCAGTAGATGCCCTCTATGCCATCAGGAAGTGGAAACTACGACTCACCTATTCACACAATGCAACTTTACTAAAGAGGTTTGGGGGAAGCTTGCTGCCTTTTGTGGATTTCAGATTTTCTCGGCTGAATCTCCCATGGTTCGTATGATGAGGTTGATTAGAATTTAAAAAAAAAACTCTGTTAGCAATAACCTATTAAGAGGTACTTCACTGGTGGTCTTTTAGAGACTATGGAGGGAGCGATGCAGAAAAGTCTATGAAGATATCTCACTTTCGGCCCATGCTGTTTTTCTTGATATTTGCTCCTCTTTGCGTCTTCGGGCTTATGGTACTCGTCCCGAGGCAAAGGAAGGCATGATGGGGATGGATCTTTTGAGGGCCTTAAAGGTGGAGATGAGGCAGGAACTGGAACCAAAAAATATTTGGATTAACTGGTCCCCTCCTCCCTCCGGTTTTTTAAAGCTAAATGTGGATGGGGCATCGAAAGGAAATCCTGGAAGAGCTGGGGCTGGAGCTGTGGTAAGGAATGAATGGGGGCACATTGTCTTGGCTGCTTCTTTTTTCTATGAGGTTTGTTCAAACATGGAGGTTGAGCTTTATGCACTCAAGGATGGTTTATTGTTGTTTAGAAGTTATGGGCTGTTAGACTGTGGCCTTCTGATTGAAACTAATTCAGCGGTGATGGTCCAAATGGTGATGAAAGGGCACATGAGGGCCCGGAAGTTTTGGAAGATTTGTGATGAGATCATGGAGTTATTGAAGGGCATGAATTTTAGTTTGGCTCATGTATACAGGGAAGCAAATTGCTTAGCTGACTGTCTTGCAAACCTTGCTGTTTTGGAGGGTGCCTCTTCGGATTTCACACGTGATTTGAAGATTCCTTTCCGGGCAAAATTAATTCAGATCCAGGATCAACAAGGTGTTAAAACGTCAAGGAAAAAGTTTACTAATTTTTGATTCTTTGGTTTTTACTTATGAATCATCCAATCGGGCTGGGGCTTTTGTTTCTCATTGCTTGGCTTCTCGCAGCTGGTGTGTTTGCTTCCTTTACCCTGCTGGGAAGCTTTGGCAACATTTGTACATTAAATGCAGCTGGGGGGACATTCCGGTGGCTTTTTTGCTGTTTTTGGTCAGGGAGTACTATTCACGCGACTGTTCACGTGAACAGTCTGCTTCCTGCTGCTGGCGGTTTTTCTCAGCTGACCTCTACTGATATTGCAGCTGCTGTGGGTGATTTTCAGATGGTTTTCAACTGGTTTTGGTCATGACACACTGTTCACGCTACTGTTCACATGGACAGCCTGTTTGCGGCTACTGATGGGCTCTTTCAGCTGGTTTTTTCTGGATCTCAGCTGGATTTTGTGCTGATTTCAGCTGGGGATCGTGGCTCATTTTGTTGCTACAGCTGGTTTTATCAGACTTTATCTTTGGTAAACATTGAAGGCTTTCCACGGTTCTGCTCAGAGGGTTTTCAGCTGGATTTCCAGCTGGTCTCAACGGGTTTCCAGCTGGTTTTCCATGATTTCTTTGTGGTTCTCTGCTGGTTCTTATGGGCTCCACTTGCTGCTGTGATTGCTGTGCTGTTTTGATGGTGTCAATGGTTCATGTGCACAGCTTTCTTGTCGCTGCTGCTGGCCACCTCTGGTCTCTTTTTCTTCAGCTGGTTTTGCTGATTTTCTCATGGTCTCTCAGCGGTTCTTTCATCTGCTTGACGCTGGCTATTGGTCTGCTGCTGTGGGTTTCTCTGTTGCTGCTTCCTTCGGCAGTCAGCTGGGGATTTGTTCTCAGCGGGCTCTCAGTTGCTGTGTTGGTTCTGGGCTTATGTTCATTCCTCATGGTTTTCATCATCTCGCAGTTGCTGTCTCTTGGGTTTCCAGCTTTCCTCCAGCTGAATTTTCTGGATCTTCAGCTGGACTCTCAGCTGGCTTTTGCTGGCCTTCATGTCCCATTTTATGTCCTTTTCTTTTTTGATGGTTTATGCCACATTGGCTTCCTTGTTTTTGTTAAAGCCCGGCTTCCTTGCTTCTTGTAATTTCTGCTCATTTCAATATATCCTCCTTTTTTTCAAAAAAAAAAAAAATAGGGTTTAGGAAAAGCATGGTGAGAGTTGTGGTGAATGTTGGAATATTTGGGTCGCCGGAGTTGGACTCCAGAGAGAAAGGGAGGAGACAAATTGTTAGAGCAATTACTGAGATACCTCGGCGTAAGAGATTTTGGGGATGAGCTGGGCATGAGAGATTTTGGAGATTTTGGGGATGAGTAGGGGAAGATTTTGGGGGATGAGTTTGGAAGGCAGAGGATGAGATTGAGAAGGATTCTGAGAGAGATTTTAGGGGAAGATATGGGGGAATCAGAGGAGACTGGGGCGTCAGTCAAGCAAAAAGCCCTTATAATTAAAACAGGAATTTTGTTGGGCGGGGAAACTAATTTCGGTAATCACAATATACCGTTAGATCAAAATTTTTGAAATGATCTGAACCGTCTTTTATGTTGAGATTACATTGTCCGTCGGATGTGCTTATGTTTTGTCTCAAAACGATCTGAACCACTCTGTCTCTTGGATTCAAACTCAACTCTACTTTATTATATAGATTATAGCATTGTATATTAAATTTTATCACAATTGACCTAGATAATCTTAAGGTTCCAATATGATTAATTTATTGATAATTATTTTTATTTTATTAAATGATTTATAAGTAAAATCTTAATCAAATTAATTTTTTAATTATTTATTCTTTATTTATAAATGTCAATTTTTATGAAACTTTTTGACTTATTATATTACTCTTCAAAAATATATGCATTATTATAACTTTTAACAAAATATTAAAAAAAAACCTTCAAAAACTCCATTAATATAATATTACTCATCTCATTTATAAAGATAATATTATGACTAAGTATGTATATTTTATTTTTCATCAAAAACATTTTATTTTTAAGAAAAAAATAATGTATATATAGTTTTATATAATTTTTTAGTTATAGTAAACTTTTTAAACTATGTTATATCAAATAATAACCGATCATTTTTCTTAAAGTTAGAATAACCAATCTTGAAAATATACAAAATTTTCAAAAATTCTATAATGGAGCATGAGCAATGAAAAAATAAATTTGGTAAAATTGAGATGATATTTAATTCAAACATATATACCAAATAATTATTTATTAATTTTTTTTAAAAAAATTAGTCACGTGCAACGCACGTGGCGCATTGCTAGTACAAATATATGTTTTATTTACACTTTGAACAAGGACTTCATTTTGACTAGAACAAAGGTTTGAACATAATCATAATATTCAATGATCGAGATTTAAAGCAATATTTAAGCATATATCAATATCTAGTGTGTGTCACACCCTGATTCCCATAAAATGAGAAACATGAGTTTAAAACCATAATAATTATACTTAGGTTACTCCGGATTTTATTAAGAAAATATCTATATCTATACTACTATAAAATATCAACATATATGAAAAACATTTTTTAGACACTTTTGTCCTCCAAAATTTTGAAAATGCCAAGATCACCATTGAATTTAAATACCAAACATTTGTGACATTAATCATACACATCTCCATTTTTAAACTTTTGGTTTCCTAACCTCCTTTTCTCTCAACCACATCTCTATATTTACTTCCATCCTTCACATACCAATTGTTCGCTTCTACCCATAACAAATAAATGACTTTCTTGTATGTGACTTTCTTGTAGCTCTGAGGAGGAGATTTCTCATCAGGCTGTCACTTTCTTTACTAAATTGTACAAGTCTAAAAACCATACCCTTGATGAAGAGTTATTTGGGGTCATTCCTGAGCTTGTTGGACCAACTGACAACGAGAATTTGACTATGGCTGCCACCTTAATTGAAGTTAAATAGGTTGTGCTTTCTATCTCTGTGGAAAGCGCCCTTGGAACTGATGGTTTCTCTGGTAGATTCTTTCAAGTTGCATGGGATATTATTAAACATGACATGTTAGAAACGGTTAACTTTTTCTTAAGTGGGGGAGTGGTCCCAAGATCGGTCAACCCCACACTCCTCGTTTTGATTCCAAAAGTGTTGAAGCCCTGTTCTTTCTCAGAGTTCAGGCCCATAAGTCTATGCAATTTTTTATACAAAGTCTTCACTAAGATCCTATCCAATAGACTTGCTTCCCTTCTTCCATCTCTGATTTCAAATGCATAGCATGGTTTTGTCAAAGGGAGAGGGATTGGGGACTGTATTTCTTTAGCTCAGTTAATGGTGGTAGAGCTTGATAGGAAAGTTGAGGCTGGCAACGTGATTCTTAAACTGGATATGATAAAGGCGTACGATCGCATAGAGTGGGATTTTTTGAAAAGAACCTTGACTTGTTTTGGCTTTTCAAGCTTGTTCATTTCTATCATTGGCAACTGCTTAAAGAATCAATTTTTCTCGGTCTGCTTGAATGGGAAAAGATTCGGTTTCTTTCCTTCGTCTAGAGGACTGAGACAAGGTGACCCAATTTCTCCGGCTCTCTTTATTCTGGCAGAGGAGGTTTTAAGTAGAGGACTGTTGAAGCTGTATGGTGAAGGCAGAATCAAGGCTTTTCATGCAGGGAGGAATGCACTTCTTGTCTCTCATCTGCTTTTTGCAGATGATACTCTACTGTTTCTTAGGGGTAATAAACTTTCCATGGAACGATTGATGAGGTTTTTGGCAAGATACAAGGATAGCTCTGGACAGAGGATAAGTAAACATAAAAGCTCTTTCATATGTTCCTCCAATATTCCTCGGGGCAGGACAATGACTCTATCCAGAATTGCTCAAATTCCAATAAAACAATGTCCCTTCGTCTACCTGGGATGCCCCATGATAAGAGGAAGATATAAACTGCGGGATTTTGAGGATGTGGTCCTAAAATTCAAAGCCAAAATGGAAGGGTGGTACGCACGCTTACTTTCAAACATGGGCAGAATTGTGTTGATTAAATCAGTCCTTAATTCTGTTCCTATTCATTTGCTCGCTTGTCTAAGCGTGCCCAAAGGCATCCTGGCAAAGTTGAATTCTCTCATGGCCTCCTTTATGTGGCTAGGCAGGATGGGGGAGAGGAAAAGGCATTGGGTTTCATGGTCTGTAATTACAAGACCCAAGCAAGAGGGGGGGCCTAGGGATTCGTAAATTTGAAGATATCCAAACGGCATACCGTTGGAAGCAGGCATGGGGTATTCTTAAGGGCGACTCTCTGTGGGCAAACATGTTTAGAGAAAAATTCTTAAGAGGCAATCACTTGATGCGATGCACGGGTACTGGAAAAATGCGTATATTTTGAATGCTGCAACCTTTCTTTAGCTTGATTATGACCAACTCACAGGTCATGGTGGGGAATGGGAAGAATGTTGACTTTTGGTGTTCGAACTGGACTGGATCTGGCCCTCTTCTGCTCAGGTATGCCGTTTCTCCCTCGTGTTTTCCATGCCTGGATGAGTTATGGGCTGATGGGTGCTGGCAGTGGCAAAGTTTGGGGGTGCAGGTATCTGAACAGTTAAAGCATGAAGTACAGAATTCTATGATTTGTTTAAGCGAAAAAGAAGATCGACTGATATGGAAATTAACTGATTCGGGAGAGTCCAATGTCAAGTCTGCTTGGGAGGCAGTGAGAGCTTCGAGTGTCCCTGTGCCTGTGACCTCTGTGATCTGGAACCAATCGGTTTTCCCAAGTGCAAAACTGCTGGGCTGGAAGATATATCAGAAAGCAGTAGTAGAGGACTCAAACTTCCAACGGGTCGGTGTTGATTTGGCCAGCAGATGTTCTCTACGTTACAAGGCTGTGGAATCTACTTCTCACCTGTTCATACAATGCAACTTTGATAAAGAGGTTTGGGGGAAACTGGCTGCATTTCGTGGTTTTCAGGTTTTCTCCGCTGAATCCTTTGGTTTGTATGATGAGACTGATCAAAATTTTTAAAAAACACTCTGTAAGTCAGAACTTGTTAAGAGGTGTTCCACTGGTGGTAATTTGGAGATTATGGAGGGAGCGATGCAGAAGGGTCTATGAAGATAGCTCACTCTCGGCCTATGCTGTGTTTCTAGATATCTGCTCCACTCTGCGTCTTCAGGCTTATGGCGTTAGACCTAAAGATAAGGAAGGCATGATTGGTATGGAATTCTTGAGGGCATTAAAGGTAGAGCTGAGGCATGAGCTGAAACAAAAAATTATTTGCATAAACTGGTCCCTTCCTCCTTCGGGCATTTTAAAGCTAAATGTGGATGGGGCATCGAAAGAAAATCCTGGAAGAGCTGGGGGCGGAGCTGTGGTAAGGAATGACTTGGGGCACATAGTTCTGGCTGCTTCTTTTTTTTACGAGGTGTGTTCCAACACGGAAGCTGAGTTGCATGCTCTCAAGGATGGTTTATTGCTATTTAGAAGTTATGGACTTCTAAATTATAATCTTCAGATTGAAACTGATTCGGCCATGATGGTTCAAATGATAATGAAAGGGCACATGAGGGCCTGGAAGTTTTGGAGAATTTGTGATTTGCTGTTTTGGAGGGTACCTCTTCGGATTTCACACTTGATTTAAAGATTCCTCTCCGGGTTAAATTAATCCAGATGCAGGATCAACAAGGTGTTAAAACGCCAAGGAAAAAGTGCGCCATTTTTGTGATTTTTTACCTATATTATGGATCCATTTCACATGATGGGGCTTTTGCTAAGGCTGCCATGGTTTATGGTCATTGGACTGTTTAGCTGGTTTTGCTCTAGTCAGCTGATTTTCTTTCCAACTGGTTCTCTCTGTGATGTGGTGCTTTCAGTTTGGAGGACTCTGCTGGTTTCCCTTGTTCCTGCTGGTTTTTCAGGCAACATCTGTTTCTTTAATGCTGTTGTGGGGGTTCTCATGTTGCTTTTCTGCTGCTTGTTGTCTGGATGCACTGTTCATGTGAACTGCTTCGCGATTGCTGCAGATTGTCTCTTCCAGCTGATCTCAGTTGGTTTATTGACTGGAACACAGTTGGTTTTCAGCTGGGACTTCAGCTGCTCCTAGCTGAGATTTATTGTTACTTTTACGCCTTCTGCTGTATCATGTTGGCATTTATTGGCTTCCTCTCAGATGTTGGTATTTCACGGTTCTGTTCAGCAGCATTTCTTCTCTGTCCAAGTCCACTGCTCACGTGAGCAGTCCGGTTGCTGCACTGCTGAATCTTCTTGTTTTCCAGCTGGTTTTCCAATTGGTTTCTTGCTTGTATGAGCCACTCAGCTGGCCTCTCTACTGTTTTTTTGGTTTTGCAATGAAGGAGTGCTGGGGGCTGTGTGTGGGTTCTGATCAGAAGGGGACTGTTCACGTGAACAGTCCAGATGCTGCTGCAGCTGATTTTTTTCAGCTATTTTTTTGTTTCTTTCCTCGGTTCCAGCGGCTGCTCTGAATTAACTGGCTTTCAGCGGGATCCCAGCTGCTTTCTCTTATGGTGTTACTGCTGCCTTTTCTGATGAATTTCAGCTGCCTCTGCTCTCACCCTTTGCAGCTGCTTTTCATGCGTCTGTTCACCTGATTACAGCTGGAATTTCAGCTGCTGTTCAACTGGATTAATGCCACTTTTGTGCCTTCTGCTGTTCAACAAAATTTCTATAATAGAAAAGAGAACAAAATACATATTATCAAAGAAATGCTAAGCAATTAAAGGTTAGGAAAAACATGAAAACAACAACGAAAAATGAAAAAAAACCTATCGGATAATGAGAATGTTGGAGGATGAAAATAATAGAAAGAATGACCATAATAAACAAAACACAAAACAAGTAGAAATAGTCAAGTGCAAAACATATTTTACATAGAAAAGAAAGTCAATGGATCTAGGACGAATTGATATATTTATCTTTTCAATCATAAGCTCCCTTTGCAAACTCCTAATGTTCTTCCATGATTTATCCTCCAAATAATTTAACATTGTTTCCAACATATAACAACTTAATAGAAAGATAATAGAAAAATAAAATAAAACATAATTTATTTAATAGAAAAACGAACAAAATACATATTATCAAAGAAATGCTAATCAATTAATGGTTAGCAAAAACATGAAAACAACAATCAAAAATGAAAAGAAATCAATCGGAAAATGAGAGGGTTGGGAGATGAAAATAATAGAAAGAATGATCATAACAAACAAGAAACACAAAAACAAGTAGAAATAGTCAAGTGTAAAGCATAATTTACATATAAAAGAAAGCCAATGGATCTAGGACGAATAGATATACTTATCTTTTCAATCATAAGCTCGCCTTGCAAACTTATCTCCTTCAACTCTTCTTAGTCTTTCAAAAGCAAACACCCATTCTACAAACAACTGAAATTAAAACACAAAATAGATTTGTCACCCACATAAATATCAAAATCTAAAGAACAACAACAAAAAACAATAACAGACAAAAATAGGAGAAGAATGATGAGCTAGTGGAGCAAAAAGAAGCGAAAGAACAATAAACCCAAATCCTTATCCCCTAAGCCTTTAAACCATAACTCTAAGCCCATATCCCTGTAACCCCTACCCCTGACCTCTTTGAATTCTACGTTCTATTAGTCACTTTTACATGCTACAAACTCCTAATATTCTTCCATACTTTGTCCTTTTGCTCTCCTCCAAATATTTCAACTTTCTTTTCAACATATAACAATTTAATAGAAAGGTAATAAAATAAGAAATAAAACATAACTCCTAGAATAGAAAAGCGAACAAAATACATATTATCAAAAAAGTGCTAAACAATTAAAGGTTTGAAAAAACATGAAAACAACAACGATAAATGAAAAAGAACCTATCGGATAATGAGAGTATTGGGGGATGAAAATAATAGAAAGAATGATCATAACAAACAATAAACACAAAAACAAGTAGAAATAGTCAAGTGTAAAACATATTTTACATATAAAAAAAGTCAACGCAACTAGGACGAATATATATACTTATTTTTCAATCATAAGCTCGCCTTGCAAACTTTTCTCCTTCAACTCTTCTCAATCTTTCAAAAGCAAACATCCATTCCACAAACAACTGAAATTAAAACACAAAATAGATTTGTCACGCACATAAATATGAAAATCTAAAGAACAACAACAAAATATAATAAGAGACAAAAATAAGAGAAGAAAGATGAGCTAGTGGAGCAAAAGAAGCAAAAGAACACTAAACCCAAATCCTTATCCCCTAAGCCTTTAAACCTTAACTCTTAGCCCTTATCCCCGTAACCCCTACCCCTAACCTCTAACACCTAAACCCCTAAACCTTAACCCAAAACACCTATAGCTCTAATCCCCGAGCCCTATGGCCTAAACCTCTTTGAATTCTACGTTCTATTAATCACTTTTACATGCTACAAACTCCTAATATTCTTTCATACTTTTGTCCTTTTGCTCTCCTCCAAATAATTCAACTTTATTTCCAACATATAACAATTTAATAGAAAGGTAATAAAATAGAGAAATAAAACATAACTCCTAGAATAGAAAAGCGAACAAAATACGTATTATCAAAAAAGTGCTAAACAATTAAAGGTTTGGAAAAACATGAAAACAACAACGATAAATGAAAAGAACCTATCGGATAATGAGAGTATTGGGGGAGGAAAATAGTAGAAAGAATGATCATAACAAACAATAAACACAAAAACAAGTAGAAATAGTCAAGTGTAAAACATATTTTACATATAAAATAAAGTCAACGCAACTAGGACGAATATATATACTTATCTGTTCAATCATAAGCTCGCCTTGCAAACTTTTCTCCTTCAACTCTTCTCAATCTTTCAAAAGCAAACATCCATTCCACAAACAACTGAAATTAAAACACAATATAGGTTTGTCACGCACATAAATATGAAAATCTAAAGAACAACAACAAAACATAATAAGAGACAAAAATAAGAGAAGAATGATGAGGTAGTGGAGCAAAAGAAGCAAAAGAACACTAAACCCAAATCCATACCCCTAAGCCTTTAAACCTTAACTCTTAGCCCTTATCCCCGTAACCCCTACCCCTAACCTCTAACACCTAAACCCCTAAACCTTAACCCAAAACACCTATAGCTCTAATCCCCGAGCCCTATGGCCTAAACCTCTTTGAATTCTACGTTCTATTAATCACTTTTACATGCTACAAACTCCTAATATTCTTTCATACTTTGTCCTTTTGCTCTCCTCCAAATATTTCAACTTTATTTCAACATATAACAATTTAATAGAAAGGTAATAAAATAGAGAAATAAAACATAACTCCTAGAATAGAAAAGCGAACAAATACATATTATCAAAAAAGTGCTAAACAATTAAAGGTTTGGAAAACATGAAAACAACAACGATAAATGAAAAGGAACCTATCGGATAATGAGAGTATTGGGGATGAAAATAATAGAAAGAATGATCATAACAAACAATAAACACAAAAACAAGTAGAAAATAGTCAAGTGTAAAACATATTTTACATATAAAAGAAAAGTCAACGCAACTAGGACGAATATATATACTTATCTGTTTCAATCATAAGCTCGCCTTGCAAACTTTTCTCCTCAACTCTTCTCAATCTTTCAAAAGCAAACATCCATTCCACAAACAACTGAAATTAAAACACATATAGTTTGTCACGCACATAAATATGAAAATCTAAAGAACAACAACAAAACATAATAAGAGACAAAAATAAGAGAAGAATGATGAGTATAGTGGAGCAAAAGAAGCAAAAGAACACTAAACCCAAATCTACCCCTAAGCCTTTAACCTTAACTCTTAGCCCTTATCCCCGTAACCCCTACCCCTAACCTCTAACACCTAAACCCCTAAACT